CAACCCCTGGTATCTCCAAATCATCCACCATCCCCAAGACACCAAGATGAAGTCGGCTCAGCTTCTCAGCTTCCAACTCGGCATCGCCTTCGCCGCCTTCGCCTTCGACCCCTTCATCGCCTTCGCCGCCTTCGCCAAGATCCACGTATTCTCCACCGGCATGCTTCATGATCCTGCACCCAGGTCGCCCACACAACTTGGAGTGGTAAGTATTAAAGTGATGTAAAGATATGCAAAGTGTGCATGTGTGCATATGTGCGTCCCCCAAAAAAAATATGGGGGATCCCCTCTACACGTGAAACCTTTGGATGAAATTCAGGTAGCATTTCTGCAAAAACATGTTAATTTCATTCGTGCCTCAAAGCTTCCTTCAATTTATCGATTTTCACGTCCATAAGTTGGCTTGCGCGTTCAGCATCTCCTGAAATGCTGAGCACTTCAGAGATCTCCAGGGAACCACCATGCCAACAGAAAACTGGCTGAGGGATGCTGAGGGCAAAAATTTACAAAGCAATCGGAGATAATCGGAGACACCCCAGGCCTGCAAGTCTTATCAGGTGGGAGCGTAATCGGAACGGCTGCCCGACTTTGCTTAGAGTCATCAGCTCTTCCAACTGTTGGGAATCCTGAAATTTGCAACATCTTGCAACAGTGACTGCAACATTTGTCCCCCGCCTCAGCCGCCTCAGCCTCTGCAGTTTCAAACAGTGCATGTTCATTGTCCTTGGAGAGTTTCTCCAGCAGCCCATTGACTTTGCCAGGGTGGGCAGTGATCTCGTGTGCAGTGCTTGCCTCATTCAAAAGCCATGGAAACCCTGCGTGACAAGACCTGTTGTGACATGTAGAGGATGGCCAGGGTCTCGAGACGTTTGGAATCTTTGGGTATATGAATTAAATTATTCTGAAATATTCTGAATATACAACATTATACAACGGTTGATACAACGTCACAGTGCAAGTGGATGCTGCTGGGTCGCAGCCAGTGCTGCATTGCGGAAGCGGAATCTGGCTTTGAAGTCAATTGCCTTGGCAGGTCAGTGCCATCGCGGACCTATCAAACAGAAGAAAGGCAAAACGAAGTAAACATAGATAAACAATGATAAACAATGATAAGCATAGCATGACTGCAAAATGGAAGCAATCTCAGTATTGTAGGCTGTTTCAGAAATGGATGACCCTTCTTTTATGCTAATAGAATCCGATTGGCTTTGGCACCAATCTCCACCAGTTGAGCTTTCGAGGAGTCAGTCTCTGCATCAACCCGCCTGAGCTAAACCACCAAGAAGATACAGTCTCACAGATTTCAAGCAATTTTAAAAGGATGCACAACTGGCAAGCTCGCATCTCTTCAAGCTTGACATATCGGAGTCGCCGGAGCTTTTTAGAAGTATATAGGTGATCTTGACCAAGGCGCTTCAGCACATCTAGCACCTTCAAGGCGGAAATTAATTTACGGATTCCTCCGAGAAAAAAGTAGCAGTTGCATGCAGTTGCTACGTTGCTACGTTGCCCCGCAAAACTTGTCGTGCCTGCTTTGCTTTGCCCATGGTTTCGTTGAGCACCTTGCATCCCGCGACAGGCCCAAGGCGTTCGTGTCTTGTGTTTCTGCACCAATGCACCAATGCACCAATGCACATCCAGGATCATCCAGGATCATCCAGGATCCAGGTGCCTCCTCCTTCTCTGCTCGAGCTTCCTCTGCAGCAGGGTCATCATCAGCATCTGCCTGAGATTGCAGTGATTGCAGCATCTGGATCTCACACAAGCAAGGACTCGCGAATAGCTGTGGAACAAAAATATGTTTCGTCAATGTCCTGTTCTTCACTGTCTTTGTTGGAAACTTCAGCCAGGCACATCATAGTCGTCAGCACCACCCTCAGAAAGATCGGTGATTGTAGCTGAACAGAAATGCAGAAACATGTCTCTGTGGCTCTACTGAAACCAGTACAATAGCCCAGCCTGCCCGTACAGCTGTCCGTCCGGCTGTCCGCCGTACCCTTGCCCATAGACCTGCACAGTCGTAGAGTCGCACATGGCAGCCATCGGATGCTCACAGCATTACATGGCCTGGCCATTGAACGAGGAGTAGCCTTAGCCAAACCAAAACAGATGGGAGCACGGTTTCCGGCATTTCCCAGGCACGTTGAAATCAACACTGGCGCTGTCCACATTCAGCACAGAGGTCACATGCCACTTCTGATCATTTCCATGTGGTTTGATTTTTGGTCACCGTCATGCATGTCCGCAAAGACTGCATTGATTTTGTCTGGGCATTCACAAGCATTGGGAAAACAGCAAGGAGGCTCAGCACAGCTGTTCGCACAGTCAACGCTGCCATCATTGTTGGAAATCCTAGAAGTTAATGATTCCAAATCTTGAGCACGGTTTCCGACATTGCCAGTTTCTGCCAAATTCTTGGAAAAATGTGCGAGCTTTTGACATGGTTAAATGTGATTAAGTAGTCTGTCCCTATCCATGTCTGTCTATCAACGTCTGCCAATTTGAAGAAAGCCACGCCCTCTTCGGTAGGATGAGGTTGACGTCGGCCTTTGGTGCAAGACGCAGGCCGCACAGAGATACTGCAGTCGGCTGGGATGTATATGTTTGAAACGATCCAGTCGTTTCAAAAGTGCAGTGCTTCAGTGACATGCAAAAAGGTCCCTGCTCCCAAGTGGAGTTGCACTGCCTAAGTGGAGGCAAAGAAGACAAAAGACGTGAAATGTGGCTTCAGAAAAAGCAAACAGCACAAACTGCCACGAAAATCTTCCAAGTTTTCTCATTTCACTGTCATGCTTGTTGTACTTGGGTTGGCCTCCACCATGCTTGTGCTTCAGCATCGTCTTCGCCAATCGCTAACCGCTCATGATGTAGCAAAGGTCGGCATGGAGCCAGCCTGTCGGCTTCTCTTGAAATTTATAAAAACGTGCTCCTTTCTCAACCGCGGTAGCTTCTCAACTGCGAAAGAACTGTCAAACCAGAAATTCATCTTAGGGCCCAGCACCACAGCTCCTCCAGCTTCAGCAAAGCTGTTGAAGCTTCCCAGACCCATTGGAGACCGGCCGACTTGCGCGAAAGAAGCTCTTCTGTCCCTTGTCTTATGGGGTATGTAAAGCTCGTATGACAGGATTGGACAAATGAGGCTTGGAAATATGATTTTGGACATGGTGTCTTGTAACGAATTCTTCGCAAAAATATGGTGTCCCTCGTCACGTCATTCCCCAATGTTCGCGGTCTGCCATGTTTGCTTCTGCTCAGCCAGTCAGTGGTCCCACAGATTTACAGGGCAAACGTGAGCAAGCATCTGCAATCCACTATCTGCATTCTGCCATAACGTGGGATGGATGGAATTACGGTATCTATGAATCAATGTGACATATTGTGACTCCCTCTCTGTCTCTATATCATATATATATATATATGTGAGATATATTATATATATATTATATATATATACACATATATCCGCGTTTGTATGTAGATGTTGATGTAGCATAGGGATGCCGGTAGTTCCCAAGACTCAGAGCAGGCCCAGGTGAACATAGGTGAACGACAAACTTGTCCAGCGAAGCTGTTGCCCAAAGTCTGTCCTACAGCTGCTTCATCTGTACAAGTTTTGCAGCTAAAGCACTGGACTTTGCCAGCGTTAAAACCTGATGATTCTGCCGGAATTGCTTTTCCAATTGTTGCAGGGACAGATCAAATGCATCTTGCAAACCTCCATAACAAGCAGCTTTAGCTACTTTTGGATCGTGCCAAAATCTCATATCTTAAAGTTGAAAAGCAGGGGGCAGAAAACCAGTGAATCGAACGGAAGTCTGTATGTACACATGCTATGCGAAGAAACCTACATGGCACGTGAAGAACGTGCAAATTGGCGGATTTCTGCTGGACATGAAGAGACCATAAAATATCATCTGGTGCTACAGGCACAGAGTTGACGCATTTTGAGACATGAACATCCAGCATGATCAGCATGTATGCAATCGCCATCCCCAAGCATCCCAAGCACTCTGATTTTGAGCATGGGTGCCGCCAGGCTTGAGGCCATGGGGACAATTCAATTTCGTTTCAGACATCCACAAGGCGGAGCCATCTGCAAGGTGTCAAACGCTGGCACTGCAAAATCAGGAACTTGTGAACCGGTATATGTGGAGCAGTGGGGAAGCAAAGTATCTGATCATAAAGTCTTGACAAAATAATGATAAAAGCATGACATAAAGCACAACAGAAAGCATTTGAATACTGCAAGCTGTGGTCACACACCCTTTTTGACTTTGGCCATTCAGCTCATTTCAACTCTCTACGGCCGTCTCATGGCTCCGTTCGGCACTCCACATTGTGCGGATCTAGCTCTCCTCCTCATCCTTGTCATCGTTAATGTTGAAGTAGCCTTAGTTCAATGTGAAGGGAGAACCATTTCGTGTCTATCAAGCTAGCCACTGCCAATTTTTATATCTGGGCAATGCAAAATCATGCAAAGGTTTTCGTGACAAGGCTTCCAGGTTTGGCCATGCCACGCATCTCATACGAGGTCTTGGAGGGAGCCACGATGCGAAGGAAATCACGAAGCTGCTGGGACTAGCAGGGTGCTTGGGCAAAACAGAGTCCAAAAAGGCGAAAACTGATCAAGAGCTTGAATGAATCATTTGATGATTTTGATGAATCAACCAGATCCAAGAGCTTTCCTCAATACCGGCTCTCCAGAACCCTCTTTTCCAGCAATCAATTGCAATATGTCTATACGTGTTAGGAAGCTTCATGCATAATTCATTCAATGGCATTGCCGCCGGAATTTCTGCAGAAGCTCCGAACCTACTAACTGAACTGTAGAATGTTCAATTCCGAAAAAATGTTGAAAACTGCTGAAACCATCTCAACTTCCGCTGTCTGGCATGATATCCGTGACTGTTTCATCAAAACATGACGAACCTACATGCAACATGTGTAGAGGGGACGTTCAGTTGTGCAATCTTGGAATGTCTTCGCGCGTAGGAGCCAACGTTTCAGAATTTTCACAAAAGAAAAGGACTGATCAACTTGTAGCAAACAGGCTCGATAATAGCTACGAGCCGAGTCATGTTGAGCAAGGCCTTCAGGTACTTCTTGCCCAGGTACTTCCTTGGCAACCATCATTGCACGACATTCCAACAGAGGGCACCAGAGGGGCAAATAGCAAGTTCAGCTGCCTTGATTCCGAGCAAGACATGATATAGATGACAAAGTCGTGAGTGCAAAAGTAAATTGCATGGCTTTATTGGCCCGAAAAAAAATAGTAATAATAATAAGTGAATCCCAAGTGAATCCTGAGGCATCCTGGAGCATGGTTCTGTTTGCAGTGTTCGATCTAGTGCAAGTGCGGTGAAGGAACAAGTAGCGCTTGGAGAAGGGAGCCTGCAGCCGCAGCAACGATTGGATCTACCGAAAACTAACGAGTATTGAAAAGTGGAACCATGTCAAACCTTGGATTCTACATGTCTTGTTTGCCGTCCTCGGCAGTGACGTGGACTTTAGCCTTCTCCCTTGACACAGTCACCTGCCAGTTCGAAGCAGTACTGTTTGTTGAATTCCCTGTGGGCACACAACTTTTTCACGCTCAGAAAGGTGCATAGTAAGGGATGGCTTATGTACATCTGCCTGTATGTTTGTCTGTCTATCTGTCCATATCTAACCTAATCTAGTCTAATCAAATCTATCTTTACTCTCTCTCTCTCTCTCTTGCTCTCTATCTATCTATCTATCTATCTATCTATCTATCCATCTATCCATCTATCCATCTATCCATCCATCCATCTATCTATCTATCTATCTATCTAGTTTTTATCTATGTAACTATGTAGCTACTTAACCATGTAACTATGCAACTATGTGTCTATGTAGCTATCTCACTCACTCTCTCTCTCTCTCTCTCTCCCCATCTATGTGCAGTATCTATGTATCTATGTATCTATGTATCATTATGTATCTATGTATCTTTGCGTCTATGTCTGTGTGTGTGAATTTATGTGCTTTTACCATTTCATCAATATCATTTCTCTAGTGAAGGACCTCCTTGTGCTAGTAAGGCTTATCCAGCTGCAACACTGTGCGCTTGCGGAGTAGGTAGGACGCGGTAGCATATCTTGAAAGTGAATGCAGTTTGAGAAGGCGCTCCTTCTCTCCGAGATTGCCTGTCTTTCCATCCACCTGACACTGTGCGGATGCTGTTTGGTGCTTTCGTGTTAATTTGTTCCTTTGCCACAGCCACAAAGCATTGCAAGCTTGTCACAGCTTGCCTTGATCTTGTTGGTCAGGAACTTCTCGAAGTCCTAAGACTGAACAGGTTCGGCAACTATGACCGGATTCCCCTGAGCATCCCTGCGTATGTGCCCGAGACAGAAACAAGCAAGATGCAAATCATGAAATTTCCGAAGTCTCATTATCCTTTTGCGAAATCTGGCCTTTAAAATCCGTTAACTAGCTGCAGCGACCTGCGAAGGGCAAAGGGCAAAGAGCCACTGCCCCAGGACAAATGGGCAAAGACGCAAGCGAACTCTACAAAAATTGAGGTCAGCATCCTTGGGCTCGATGATGTTGTCGTCAGCTGGCTGCTGGCAGTCCACAGTGAATTTCATGGTCTCAGTGGCTCCAGTGGCCCAAAATGCCGACTCGAAAGGCTGGAGCTGAGGCAATGACGGACTTCTTGGCTGGGACCGTTGCCTTCTTCTTCCTGAGCCGCGCAAGCATTTCTGGGTCGGCCATGTCATTGTTTGTTCTGGCAGCTGTTAACTGGTTGTAGAATGTTCATGGCTAAGGTCAAGGAACGTGTTTCCAACCTTTGCGACCATCTTGAAGAGTCACGAAAGCTGCAGGTGCTGGACTGGCCACAAATCCTACCCTTGAGCAAAAATTGTAACCGGATCGGGGCAGGTGCAAGGCCTTGAATACTGGACAATGTCGCACAGTGTCGCACATGCTCTGAGTCACATTCAGAGAGATAATGAAACGATATGGAAAAAAAGGCCAGCTTCATCTAGATTCATCAATTGATCAATTGATTCATCGTTTGCACTGGACTCACTGGAGGCAGAGCTCGCCTCCAAGGACCTGGTCATGACCCGGAGCGCTTATGGTTTTCGAGGCGCTTTGCTCCAGCCTTTTCATACCTGCGATGAAACCCTGACAAATTATGAGAGCGCAAATTAATTTTCGAATACCTTCGAGCATTGATGTGACCCAAGGCGACCCAAGGTGATCCAAGACATCCCAAGACTAGGCACAGGATCCAGGAGTCTCTTCCAGCGGAGTTGCAAAGGACATCAAAGAACACCCTTCGCCAGCCTGGCTGCCTTTGCTTTCAGGAAAGCATTTTTCAACCTGGGTGGTCCCAAAAAGCCACAACATAGAACAAGCATGCTTTGCGGACACAAACTTTCACACTTCAAAATCTTAGAAGTTTGCAGTGGCATACGCTATCACCATCTGACTGAATTTGTTATTTTCGAATCTGAAGGCGTCGCAACTTGTACAGGTATGCAGGCCAGCTCTTGACCTGGACCATGATCCAACCCCAGAGCAGGAGCAAAGCAACGCAAAATGGAAATGTCATGTAAATATCATGTAATTTTTAAATGCAATCAAATGCATCATGCGAATGCTTCAAGATACTAGCAAGGTCCCATAAAGACTATAGTGCCCATAAGATTTGCATGTCCAAAGGGATCCAAAGGGTCTAGCGCAATTAGTGCAATTAGTGCAATCAGTGCAATCAAAGACTTTCATGCTGCATATGCTGTATACAGTTGGGTGGTGATCTCGATGAACTCAGCACCCTGCTGTCTCCCTGAGGCGGCCTATAATGACTACTCGCACCTGGCAATTCACAGAGGGAGCCTGTGTGCAACATTATTGTAAACATACCTTTAGGAGTTTTAGGATCAGGCTGATACCGTACTGATGCCACTGGCCAGACTTGTCCACGGCTTGAAAGGCGGACGATTTTTTCCGGTCTGGACTCCCTTAACCATGGATTTTCCCATAGCCACTCACGCTTTCGCAAGCCAAATATGAAAGTCGTGCCGACCTGGGTGGAAAACTACTTTACGTCGCTTGGACATTCGTGTCCTTCTATAGGATCTCAAAATGTTAAACATCTCCCTGCGGGAGTCCTCAAGCCCATGCGGGTGGCCGCGGTCCTCAAATATCTTTAAAGATATCTAACTGGTTTAACTGGTAGTCGACAAACAAAACTATCGCGTGAACATATAACTTTATATACAGTATGTATATGTATATATATATATATGTCAACTTAACTATGTATGTAAATATTTTCATATATATATATATTCATGTGTATATACATACATATATATATATATATTCATATATATTCATATATATTCACATTTAATAATATATTCATATATATTCAAATATATATATATATATTCATATATATATATATTCATATATATTTATATTTAATAATGTATTCATATATATTCATCAATATAAATATAAAATATAAATATAAATACATATATATATATACTCATATATATTCATATATATATATATGAAGTATATATGTCATATATATATATGTATATGTATACACTCTTCCACGTTTCAGGATGATTCGGTGCTTTTCAGACACAGAAGGCACAAACGCGCGACCTGCCTAAAACAATGAGGACCACAACGAAACCACGCAGGCGACTTGAAGGCATGGGTGACACACGCGTGACTGATGGGAACGGAACGAATCCAGTTCCAGAAGGCCGGTGACACATCTTTTACTGATCTTAAACTATCCTACACTGTCACAGAAAAAATTGTGAGCACAACGGGTCAATGCGCCATTACACCGGCCTTGAAAGCCAGCAGCCGTTGGCTAGGCTACAACTTGCGGGGCTCTTGTGAGCATAGGACATAAACGGCCTGAAGCTAGCTCGAGCTTTGCCATTCTGCCCAGCCCAGCCAGACTGCTGCGCAGAATTCAGAAATTCTCCAGGCGTTGTCTTCTCCAAGACTTTCCAGTGCAACTCTGCAACAACACAGACACGTACTCACATGCCAATCACTACTCGGAGCTCAACCATTTTGGGCTGTCGGATTTGCAAGTTCAAAGACAACACCGGATAAAGCTAAATCATCAAGCCCAAGCTTGGGAAAAGCCCTGCGTCAGGCCCCTCAGAGCACACTCCACTCATGCTGTGCTCGCATGGTGTGGTGCAAAGGTCCTGGGCATCACCCCCCCCCTTTGTGCGCTGCAAGGCCATGCCAAGGAGTTTTTGTGCCGGGGCCAAGGATTTTTTTTGCCAGGGCCTCTCTAAGGTTTGCCCAGACTGTGCAAATGTTCATTCACGGGCTGGCAGCTACGCTTCCCAAACATTTGCATGGGAAAGAAAAAAACCTCAATGTGAATTGGTTTTGGGGTCATGCTACAAAAGATCGATTACAATAGGTTGGAGACCACGGTGCTTCCGCTCACTATCATCCAAGGGAAAAAGTTCATACCAGCTCGCATATGTGCGTTCCAGAAAGACTTGTGCGAGCAGTTTTTCATGTTGGACGACACAGTGCCAATCCGCGATGTTGGTTACCGCCACTTGAAGAATGAAATGTTTTCCAAGCATGCTCAGGTGGTAACATAAATCGTGGAATCCCAAGCGCAAGAGTTCACCCTTGTCAACAAGCCCTCTAGAAATGCTCCAAAATGAAAAACCTTCAGTTTCATCGAACCAGGCAGCAGCAAAGGAATCTTCCCGTAGGCTAATGAATACAGAGCAGAGCCATTTCACATGTATTCGTAGTAGACATTGCGGATGCTCCCAAGGGCTGCAGTCTAGGAATTCCACATTGCTACGGTTTGGTGCCAAATCTTGCCAAGCCAGGAACGGTGAAAGGATGTCCTTCCGAGAGGCATGGACTCTCCATCAAGCCCAACCAAGCCAGAATTTTGTGAGTAGACCATGTGGGGTAGACCAAGGCCCTGGGCGGGATACTGTTTGTGAATGTTGCTGAACAATGTGGTGCAGCATTGCTCGGGCTGGGCATCTGCTTTGAAAGTCCTGACGGCATACATGGCCGATCAAAGACCACTAGCGTCGCATGTAACCGCCTCCAAGAAGAAGACAGCGGCTCAGAGAGCGAAAAGCAGGAATGAGTTTACAACTACAACAAACCACAATCAACTTTCACACAACCACAACGCAGCCGATGACGACGTGCCTGTGAATGACATGTCCCCGGTCTCAAATGGTGATTTAGTTCTGGAATGGAATCGCGACAGTGCGATGCAGCTGAAGAGTTTGCATACCACCGTGCAGACAAGTCATGGTGGCCACTGCTGGTTTCATTTGCCGTGTTTTTGGCACTGCTTTCTGGAATCATTTCTTTGATTTGGCGACGCACGACGCAACGTGTGCGACCTGCTGGAAGCTGAGAATATCATTTTGGATTTGAAGCGCGGTCGGAGAAGACTCACTGACCGAGCTTATGATCGACAGGTGATTCGATAAGCAGTTGGTTTGCTGGATAGAACGCTGGTGGAACTTCATGCTTTGAATCAATTTCAAACTTTCTATGCGCCCTCAGGACGCTGCTGGCATTTCTCACGAGGATGTGGGGCTCTAGCCAATATTGCCCAAGTGACTGTTCGAAACCCATGTTCCTTTTGTTTGAATGGTCATTTGCCTCCTCATGTGCCGAACGAGCATACTGGCAAAACACTGGCTGAAGAATTTGCTGAGTTCTTTGCAGCGCATGGACCGAGAGAAACCTACATCAACACAATCATATACTGAGAGCCGGACATGTGACTTTTGTATTTTCTTCATTTTCACCCCCTTTTCTTTCCATGTCGATTGCATTCCATGCAACGCATTCAGCAGTCACATGTGAAGGGGACATAGCATTTGGACATAGCATTTGAATCATTTCCGGTCGTAGACCATTGCAGATTTCACATTTGGTTGCCCCTTGCCTATCAAGTGGGCGGGCACCGAGTAGTCCAACCCGTGGCTACGTCTTGAAGGAAAAGGCCTTGCTTGCCTTTGCACTACTTGCTTGCAGAGAACTTCGCGTGTCTCGAACTTTGGTTGGCTCCCTACCAATCAACAGCTAGGTATAATCAACACAGTTCGATGGCGCAAATGACTCTCAACTTTTTGCTGCCATGTGTCTCGCGCCAGGATGCACCAGGTGTTAAGGTCTCTGCGGTGGGCTGATCATGGCAAGTCGGATTTGGTGCTCATATTCGTCCACAGCAGGCCCCCAACGAAAAGATCGAGACATCGCCTCGAATTGCTGGGAAGAATACCAATGAGATCCAATGCGTTCCTCCTAGGCCCCAGGGGCACCTAGAATAGAACCACCCGACCAAATCAGTTGAAGTACTGCAACTTAGCCAAGAAGCATTGCGCTGCACCTGCCTTGGAAAAATATTGTTTGTGCTTGCAGGACGACCCAACAAGCGAAGGCTTGGTTGCAGGCTGGGACCCGACGCTCAAGCTATCTGGTAAGTAAGAGTAGCTCATGATGAATCGACCAACAAATTTGACGAAACTAGATTCAGAATTCGTTCAGCAGTTCACACTTGGTATCAGCTCGTTGCTTTCAACATGACCACTGCATGCCATCCGGTAGCTGTACTGAGACTGCGATGTGCCATATGTGCCATACAAATATCAAATAACAGCAAAAATGTCCCGGATCTTGTCCCTTGAAGTAACTTGAAGTAACACATCGAAGACATTCGAAGACTGTGACACTGTGACAAGGCACTGAAAGCGTTCCGGATTTCGAAAGAACAGGGTCGCAGCCTCCCGCAACGCCTGCAGGCCAGCGAAGCGCTGAGGGTTTGGGCTTGAGAAATCTGCGGTCCAGGAGCCCAAGAATTCTGAGCAACCACAACCGACCACAACAACCTACTGGACAAGCTACCCAACATCAGACCAGTCACCAGTTTGTCACTCATTCCCTTTTGTCAATCATGAGCTTAAGATAGCCTACCAACACTTGAACTTCATTGAAGTCAGGCGTTCCGGCCTGCCGAATTCCAAATTCTGTGACAGGAGGTTGTATGAGAAATCCCGATGCGTTCGGATCCTCCATCCCTGAGCTGGTGCAGTTAGCCATACACAACATAGCAAATCCCACTTGTAGACTCTCGTGGAAACAGTCTTACAGCATTTCAAAAATCTCAAAGTGCATTCTGTGGGCCTTTCACGGAGTCCTTCAATCCACCTGTAGCGCTGGCAATCACCACAGCTCCATATGTTGCCGCGGCCATCCTTATTTTGGAGCCACTCCAAAGGCAGTAAGCCATTCAAACTGCGAAAGCCCTGGCACTGGTTTATGCTTGCTGCTAATCTGGGACTAGCTCACTAGTGTCTAGGATTGGCTCAACAGAGGGAAGGTGTCACTGCAAGAATTTTGACGAGTTAATATGTGCACCCACGCATCTGAGGCAGACCGCATGGTTCATAGCGGGAGGGCATCAGGATAAAATCGCATCCTGCGCTCACATTTGTGTCATCCTGATGAAACATGATGAAACCAGACAGCCCCAGCCTGCCATCATCTGGTGCTCAAAGGCAGGGTCAAAGCCTTACGCCACAAGACGTCACAACACGGCTTGTGAATCCTCGTCACACCAAGGGACCAGTGAAGCCGCAAACTGCTCCACGGTTTTTCTGCTGGAGCTCGATCACCAATCTCTGGTATTGCTGCCTGAGATTCCCCAAACAAAGTGTCAGAAACTGAAGCCAAGATGCCAAGCGGGCACAGGAAAGAAAACAAAGCACATTGATTTTATAAAACACCCAGGGGTCAAGAAAACAGGGGCCTCATGCCAAGCAACGAATTTAATAATATCATATAATATTTATATAATACACGTATTGCAATTCGATGTACAGTGGGATGAGCCCCAGGGAAGCTATGAGAATCTCGAGGTGCTGAAGCTGGTGCCAAGCGTCTCCCCCGCACCCATAAGGATTGCTTGCGCACGACCAGGTAAACCCTGCATGCCAGGGCCCAGAAGCCAGGACAATGCCCGCGTCAGAATATCAATACCTCCCAGGTGCAGCCGCATCAAACAAACAAACAAACAAACAAAAAAGTAAACTTTCTGGAAAGACATGGAGAGACTTAAGGTCAGCAGCATTCAGAAGGATCCTAGAATTCATGGCGGTACCCCACGCCTCTCTGCAAACAGGAAAATAGGACGAACAAGCAAGTAGATACACAGTGAGGTGATTGTGATGATATGAGCGCTTCAACATGCTTCAACCTTGAAATTGTTCGCTAGCCATTTGTTTTGAGAGAGGAACTGCCAAGACTGAGATGCGAAAACGAACAACAAAGAACAGGCTGCTACAGACTGCCAAAAAGTCATCAAAAGTCCACCAAGCACTTCAATGGTCCAAATGGGGTGAACATGATCGATGAATAATGTCAACACCACATGATTCATGAATCCTTGATTATATATATATAATTAGGGGGTTCCCCTAAATAGTGATCATTGGATACTAAAATGGTAGCCGTTTCATTAAACGGCCCAATGATTATCAAAGGCCAGCGCCTTTCTGCCAGGTCAAGCGCCCAATGAAGCCAAACAGAACCTGCAGCGCATCGCATGGCTTGAAATCAAGTGGCGCATCGCTTGCCCAATTTGCCCACCCTTCTTAGAGGAGAGTAAAATCATTTAGAGTCATCAAATGCACATTAAATCTATCAAATAAATGCAAGTGGTGAACTCGACTAATGGATAGACGGATGCATATTAAACGAACAACAAACAACAAGGGCACATTCGAATTGAAAGGCAGGAAATGCAGGCGATTGAGGTGATTTGATACATTACACAGCTTGAGTACGAGGCACATTCTGCGTATTGTACCAGTGAAGGATCTACGAGAGGCAACGATTGATAATAGGATAAAGAATATGGACGAGATCGGAATGGATGGGAAGGCAAATAGCACGATGTGCTGCCAGGACACTGCATTTGGAGTTACGACCAAACCCAGCTTCTTTTGCAATACCGCTTTGCAATCCCTTCGCACGGCAGCAAAAGATTCCAGGCCGTAGTTGCGAACAAGGTACTTGTCCTGAGCAGTCCCAGTGTCGGGATGGAAGGTCACAAACCTTGAGCCGGGCTCTCAGCCACGTCACAAACATCACTAAGATCTTGGCCAAGGGTCTGTCCGTGGATCCCATTCATCGTCAATAGCATTCTGAATCCCAGAAAAGCGAAGCATCTTGGACTTTTGGATCAGAATGTCATCAAGGCCGAACCCTCCTGGTTTTTTTTCTGAGTTTAAATGGTCCGAAAATGACCGAACTGTGTGGGAGGGAGTTGAAATTACTGCCATCATTCGAGCTGGCAAGCACGGCAACTCTTTCATTCAGAACGTTTCATAACAGGAGATCGTTCCACAGCACGCTCGGACCGGGGCTACACCCAACTACCCCAAAAAAAAACTGTTTGTGCAAGTGTTGGGAGGTTTGAAGTCCTTGCGGAGTTCGTATCTCTGCAGCATAGTTTGGCGAAACCTCAGCGTCTGCATTGCAGTTTGGAAAGTTCCTACCTGCTGTGCTTGCATGCGTTCGCCCAAGAAAGAGAAAACATGAGCAAACCTGCAGAACTCGCAGGTTATGTTGGCAATTGAGACACTGTTACAAGACGGTCTGCACAAAGAATGGCCCCTTTACATAGGTTCAGAGCTGCATCTTTGTGCCTCAGTCACAGTTCAAATTTTTGAATTTTGGGAGAATAAAATGAATAAAATGCACATGTGAATAATGTGAAGTTAAATAAATTGAACTGCTGGACATTGCCAGGCTATCTTAGAATCTTGGACCCTTGGACTCTTGGACTTGAGATCTGTCGGAATCTGTCGCGCTTTCGGACCCTGATCCTCGGACTCTGGCAGGTCTTGCGCAGCTGATTCACCAAGGCCAAGCAATGTCTTTGGATTTGCGCGGCATCGAGAGAACTTACCCTGGAAACCTCGCGGCTCGAGCACTCCCAGATACTCCCAGGGCCCCAGGATTCACAGTGCAAGTGTATAATTTTTATACATAATATAGTTGGTTAGTGTTTGTTTCTTTGCTAGCTAGTTTGTGGGTTAGTTAGATAGACACACACAAACAGGCAGGCAGGCAAGTAGATAGACAGATGGACAAATGGACAGACAGACAGACAGACAGATAGACAGACAGAGAGACAGACAGACAGACAGACAGATTGATGGATTGATTGATTGATTGATTGATAGTTTTTTTGGCCAGGGTTTCTCAAAGGATTTGCCCCACAGCACTGTTCGCATCTTCACGCAGGCGAGGGTTGCCAGTTGAACGTGAAATGAAATGACAAGGTTAAGTGTAAAGAGTCAAGATGTACAAAATGGGTGAGACACTGTCGTAAATTTCTGTGTTTACACTCAGATGCACTGAATGGTAAAAACTGGTACCAAGAAGCATACTGATACTCCACCAACGTATCATGCACACTGTCCTTGTTTGCATTTACACTTTTCCAGCAGCTTTCATGATAGATAGATAGATAGATAGTTAGATAGATAGATAGATAGATCGCTAGATAGACAGACTGACAGGATAGATAGATAGATAGATAGATAGATAGATAGATAGATAGATCGATAGATCGATAGATAGATAGATAGATCGATAGATCGATAGATCGATAGATCGATAGATAGACAGACTGACAGGATGGATAGATAGATAGATAGATAGATAGATAGACAGATAGATAGATAGATAGATTAGATAAGATAAGATAGGATTAGATTAGATTAGATTAGATAGATAGGATAAGATAAGATAAGATAAGATTGGATTAGATTAGATTAGATAGATAGATTAGATAGGATAGGATAGGAAAGGAAAGGATAAGATAGATAGATTGGATAGATAGGATAGATAGGATAGATAGGATAGATAGCTTAGATAGGATAGATAGCTTAGATAGGATAGATAGCTTAGATAGGATAGATAGCTTAGATAGGATAGATAGCTTAGATAGGATAGATAGATAGATAGATTAGATTAGATTAGATTAGATTAGATTAGATTAGATTAGATAGATAAGATAGATAAGATAGATAAGATAGATAAGATAGATAAGATAGATAAGATAGAAAAGATAGAAAAGATAGAAAAGATAGATAGATAAGATAGATAAGATAGATAAGATAGATAAGATAGATAAGATAGATAAGATAGATAGATAGATAGATAGATAGATAGATAGATAGATACATAGATAGATAGATAGATAGATAGATAGACAGATAGACAGATAGACAGATAGATAGATAGATAGATAGACGCATGCATACATACATTAATTCAATTCGTTACATACCATACCGTACCATACCATACCATTACATTACATTACATTGCATAAAACCATACATAGGTTACCATATATTGCCATACATTACCATACATTTCATGACATGACATGACATTTCATGACAGCACATCACATCATATCACATCACATCATATCACACCTTATGACATATATATATATATTATATATATGTCTCTCTATATATATATATATACATAGGCTACGTATGGATATATTATATACACTGACTGCATATATGTTGTACGCTATCCCCGCTTTGGCTATATGTGACTTCGCAAATGGTCGGCCAACTCGGGCTAGCAGGACCATCTGCTGTCCAAGTAGCCCAAATTGTGTATGATGTGAATGCTCCTTGGCTGAGCAAACAAATTCCACTTGTACCCATTTGATCCATTTGGATGTACAAATTGTACAGCACTCAACTCACAACACTTTATTGTTCCAAGAATAGCTCGCAATTCGCGCCACGGATCCTTGCTTCCCGATACACCCCAGTTGGCCGGTAGCGGTGGGCCAAATAGACAGGCACAAGGCCGGCCTCAGATCTCAAAAATGCCTAGCAGCCTAGCACAATGAGCTGTGACAAGCAAAAGCCATGTCAGTCAAAGCCGCCATGGCCACGTGAATTCTCATCGAGTTTGGATTTCCAGTGCCTCCCGTAAATGTTACACCCAGCCCAACTTTGCAAGGCAAAATACTTGCCAGTCATTTGACAGAAAGGCTACCTCGGTTTCATGTGACCCCTGGATTCTGCACGCTTGCAAACTTGACCCAGTGGTACATGCAAGGATGCTGATGTGTAACTGGAATCTTCTGTCTGGCTCTGGCAGAGTATCAATTCTCTGACACTGGGACCCTGGGATTACATACTCATGTTGCAGTCGTGCAACTCGCTGACCATAAGGAACGCCACCAAAGTTGAGTCGAAGAGGGGCCTTTCAGAGACAATACCATGGATAAGGCCAGGAACACTGAATTCAAGAAGTCATTTGGGCGTGAGAGTTCTTGGTTCTTGGCTGGCTTTGAAAACTTAGTTGGCTTAGTTCAAACATGTTCAGACTGCAGGCAGTGTCAATCAACCTCCAAAGCTGCCAAGGAGAGCATCGCAAAGCGGTAGAGGTTGTCACCGTAGTCTTGACCTGTCCTGACAACTGGCGCACAGAAGCCAACTTGACTAAGTTAGTGTACTTGACCTGCCGGTCACCAAACCACTTCTCTGACTTCTCTGTACAAGTAAATTTCTCTACAATCTCGTGGTAAATTAAATGCTGTCGCTCCTTGATTTTACATGATTTGCGCTGAAGTGCCAACAAAATCAAACAGGCAGCAGTTGTTCGGATCAGGTCTGATTTCTCATTTGGCTATTCGTTCAGGCTATTGGCCTGGAGTCGCAATAGAGGCCATGAGGACGATGCTGGTAGCAGCCATGGTCAAGCAAAACATAGTCCTCGCCGAGACTTGAAACTCACACCATCTTAGCACATCTTCACACCATCTTGTGAAGAACGCATCTGACTCGATTCACAGTGCATCACGGTGAAAGGCAGGGTCTTGGAGACACCGGACACACTGAGGACACACTATGTCATTGCGAGACACAGCATGACATTGTCAATGACATCTCAATCATCAACGCCCAAGGCCCCCCAAGATCTGCCAAGGATCACAACCTTTCCCTGCACCGAAAGCCACAAATTTGTGCCTGAACCAATTCGCTCAGCTTAGCGCATTGACTTGCACAGCATTGCACTGCTACATTGCAACATATTGCAACTAACAGGCAAGGTGCATGCAGCGAACTTCTTGGTCACGCTGATCCAGCCTGACCCATGCCTGACACAGTTTGGCCAAATGGTTGCTATTGATGTAGTTGTGCGAACAGTAGCAGCTCCACCACAAGCCGCAACAAACCCAACAATGATAGCAACTAGAGTTCTACCACTGTCGTCTGCAGCCAAGTCTCGGATCCCAAATAAGTGAAGCCCTCTTCTGGCGGAGGACGTGTGTACATCGGTGCCACTGACCTCAAAAGTTCACTGATATTTTAATTGGCGACTTTGCTTGAAAAACGCGCCCAAGAGTAATAGGATGTAATAGGCAAGTGCCTTCAAGCACCTACACGTCTCATACATCTAGAATCTACTAGAACATTCATTACCAAGTTGCATCGTCCTGTGGCCACGCATGGCAAATTGCTGACTGAGCGAAGCGGTGACACGCCCGAGACCACCAGAATTTGACCATGGCAGAAGTTCACTGGAGACTATAACCTCGCCAAATAGCCAGGGCTGAAAGGACCCCAACATAGTGCCATATGACACAAAAAGTGCTACTTGTGATGGTGTCACCATGCGGAGGAGGAGCAATCCTGAACATCAAGGCATTAACCTGCCACGTCATTTTTTTCACTTGGTACCTTCTTTCCTTCCTTTATATCCTTTGTTTTGCTTTGCTTGGCTCTTCTTATCTTGCTTTTTGCATGTCTTTACTTCGCCTCAGATTCCTTTGGCTTTGCTTGACTGTTCTCATTCTTTTCACATACTCTTCTCTCGGTTCTTGGTCCATGTTTTCTTCCTATAGTGTTTCAAAAACTGCGTTTGTTGTAACTGTCCACCTCCATTCCTGTTCTCTGAACTGTAGCAATCCTGTCGCCCTAGTTCCTTCCCCCCTTCCAGTCCATCTACGCTTTCTTCATTTCTTTCCGGCAAAGTAAAGGAGAATGAAATCCATAATCAATTCCCCACTTAGCATGAATGGCAGGACTTCTCTAAAGTTAAGAATTCTTTTGTGTGAAACTGTGGAAAGTATCAAATCCATTCAAATCCATTCAAACCATATCGGGATTACATCATCGAAGGAAGTTTAGAAGTCAAACTTCCGACAATATGGACAGATGAAAAGCAGAGCAGGGCAGAGGCAGAGAGAAGAGAAAGATTAGAAGAAAGAAGATCAGAAGAGAAAGAGTCAGAAGAAAGAAGATGCAGATGCGCGAAAAGGTAGGAAAGTCGCGAAACACTATGTTTTTCCAATGATTTGTGCCTCCGGAGGGTCGAAAAGTAGGCTCGCCAGAGGCTCGCTAAAGCGGCGGGTGCGGAGCCAGCTGGCCAGATGAGAGATGAAAAATTGCACGCCGTTGTGGCGCGAAGCACATTTCGAAATCAAAATGTACAAAACACACCATTGTCGGACCACTTTTGGAAGTTGAGATGTCGAAAAAGTGCACGCCGTTGTGGCGCGAAGCACATTTCCAAGTCAAAATGTACAAAGCACACCAGGTTCGGACCACTTTTGGAAGTTGAGATGTCGAAAAAGTGCACGCCGTTGTGGCGCGAAGCACATTTCCAAGTCAAAATGTACAAACACACCATTCTCGGACCACTTTTGGAAGTTGAGATGTCTAAAAAGTGCACGCCGTTGTGGCGCGAAGCACATTTCCAAGTCAAAATGTTAAAAACACACTAGGGGTTCGGACCACTTTTGGAAGTTGCGATGTCGAAAAAGTGCACGCCGTTGTGGCGCGAAGCACATTTCCAAGTCAAAATGTACAAAACACGACATGTTCGCGCCACTTTTGGAGGTTCGGATGCTGGAAAAGTGCACGCCGTTGTGGTGCGAAGCACATTTCCAAGTCGAAATGTACAAAACACTAGGGGTTCGCGCCACTTTTGGCGGTTCAGATGTTGAAAAAGTGCACGCCGTTGTGGCGCGAAGCAGGTTTCGAAGTCAAAATGTACAAAACACTAGGGGTTCGGACCACCTTTGGAGGTTCAGATGTCGCTTCGCTTCAAGACACTACACTACAGGACATTACACTACACTACACGCCAGTACACTACATTACACTACATGACACTCCAGGACACTCCACTACACTAAATTACACTACACCACACTACATTACACTGAATGACTAGGAGAGGTAGACAGACAGATAGATTGATAGATAGATAGATAGAGAGATAGATAGATAGATCGATAGATAGATAGATAGATCGATCGATAGATGCATAGACAGATAGATACATAGATGTCCATAGATACATAGACAGATAGATAGATACACAGATAGATGGACAGACAGACAGACAGATAGATAAATAGATAGATCGACAGACAGACAGATAGATAAATAGTCAGAGAGACAGCTAGAGAAATAGATGGCGAGATAGACAGATAGATACATAGACACATAGAGAGATAGTTAGATACCAAGACAAATAGAGAAATAGATGGGTAGAGACATAGACAGATAGATGGACAGATAGACACATAGACAGACAGACAGATAGAGAGAGAGAGAGATATATATATATATATAGAGAGAGAGAAAGAGAGAGAGCATTTGATCGATAGATAGAAAGAGAGACAGACATTTGATCATTGGCACTTCTCTGACGGTACGAAGTCACATGACCAGCCGGAATTCGTTGCATGTCAGCGTGTGTGGTCACATCACCAGCCGGAATTCGTTGCATGTCAGCGTGTGTGTCTTTTCTGATCGCACGATGGCCAACCATCGTAAGAAATTCGTTGCAGGCCAGCGTGTGTGTCTTTTCTGACCGCACGATGGCGAATCAGCAGCCGTAATTCATGAAAGACAGACAGACAGACAGATAGACAGATGAAAGCGAGAGAGAGAGAGAGAGAGGGAGGGATAGGGATAGATAGATAGATAGACCGAAAGATAGATAGATAGATAGATAGACAGATAGACAGGTAGACAGCTAGACAGATAGACAGATGAAAGAGAGAGAGAGAGAGATAGATAGATAGATCGATCGATCGATAGATAGTTAGATAGATAGATAGTTAGAAAGATAGGTAGATAGATAGATCGATAGATAGATAGGTAGGTAGATAGATAGATAGATCGATAGATCGATAGATAGATAGATACAATCAAGATAGGTTGGTAGGTGGGTAGATAGTCAGAGAAAGAGAGAGAAAGAGTGAGAGAGATCAAGCACCTTCCAGTCCATCAGTGGCTTCGCTCTGCCATCCCTGATTCACAACAACCAATCTCTCCTATAGGTTTCCTATTTTTGAAACTTCCGCCACCGCCTTGTGCGGCACTACTGGTATTACATCAGACTTGCAGTGAACACTACAGTTGTGACTGCACAATTGATTGACTAGGCAGGGGAAAACCTTCTTGGAAGGAGAAAAAACCCTCCCGCAAATGACAAAGAGTAGAGAACAAAACCACAGCGCGGGATCTCTGCATGCCAAGAGAGGCCAGCAGAATCCCGGAATCTATTGGGGGAAGGACCCCTGATGGAATAGCCAGTGCTTCAGGAGTAAACTCCAAAGTTAATTCTTTGTAACTCTTCTTTTCAATCTTTTGCTCATTTCAGTCCTTCTCTGTTGATTCCTTGCGTGACTTCCCTCTAAGCAATTCATAAGCCGCTGCCGGAAATATTCAGCACGCACAATGCTGACCGAAGCACGACTGGAATGTCGCAGTCCCCCAGGTCGGAATCAGACCTTGTACAAATCTACGCGCAACGACGCAACGCCGCTGTGTCAAGCTTTTGAACAGTACATGCCAGTTGAAGCCAGATGAATCTGAAACTGACCGAAAAATATATCGAGATTGTGTGATTGAAATTGTTTGAAACGAGGCTTGACTGTCTTGACCTCTGATTCTTTTGCTAGTTGAAGCTGTGGGAAAGCATGCTAAGGGTAGAGCATGTAGAGCTCGGCCAGGTCTGAACACGTCAATCCTGGCTCCGAATCTCGACGGCTCTTCGAAGACCCAGACCACGCATGCACTTCCGCTGTTGAAGGTGGGTATAGCCTGACATGCGGATTTCCACTGCACATTTCAAGGCTTTCCCCAAAGAAGAAACCAGAATCATACATCCACAAATAGGGGAGCAGCTGGAAGAGTTCGAACGTGGGACCTGCTAGGAAACAGAGTGTTCAATGGCTTATGACTTTGGACCTTGCACCGGCTAAAGAGTCGCTCTGGAGTTTGTGGACTTTCGTTGCGAGATGATGCTTTGTTCAATGGAACATAGCATATATTGGGACGATCCCCTAAATGAACCACCCATCCCCACGAAGCACCCGATCAACTGGACTTCAACAATCCAGGAAGCGAT